TTTGCAGTCATTATTGGAGTGGTGTCTTTGGCTCATTAAGGGTTTAATTCTGACATACTTATAGAGAAAGAGAGACTAGGCTTGTCTGGATTTGATAACACTCCTGTCATTGGTTAGCCAAAACTTACCCTTAACCTCTCATGAAGAGTTATGTTACTTACCTTCTAGAAGCTTTGCCTACTTGATATTTGAACTGTAAGATTTTAAGCCATTGGGCTTTTCAAATACAGACCAAAGCTTTTAAAGATAAATTTTCTAAATACTTTCAACAGAGAATTATGAAATGAGAAGAAAGACAAAAGAGGATTAGTTTCGGATTTTAGTACCTGTGCAACCACTATTAATCAGGACCAAAACAGAGAAAAGGAAAAGGAAAATTTCAATGATGGAACTGAAGGGTGTTAGTTTTGTTCATGCTGAAACATCTGTAGAGGAATGTTTTATTTTAGGTTGTAATGGACCAATTAATTTATTTTAATCCTATGGAAATAGATACATAGCTAAGTTTTTACCAAAAAGAATGATTTGTTTAATTGAATTCCCATTCTATTTTGAGGGTATATTAATAGTTTACTACTATACATAAAAATAAACAGAACACAGAAAAGAATATGCCTACTGGTGATATTTCTTTATTTTTTTGTAAATCAGCAGTGTGTAATAGAAAAATTAAATCCAGGTTTTCTTAAAGTGTATTTCAGGCTGATGTTATCATCCTTGAGTTAAACAAATATAATTTATACTTGCTATTTCAACAGAGTTACCATGGGAGATAAAATTTAAAAAAATCTATCTGCTTTTCAAAAATTATATGTGTGTATACACACACACACACCTACACACACTCATGGGCACAGCTTCCAAAATGAGTTTTATTTCATTATAGATTAATGGAAATAGAGGTGGTTGATTATTCAAGATGTATCATATTGAAATCTTCAGTGATCCGATTTTCAATATAAAAAGGATATTAGGTTCAGAATTTTATTTTAGGCTATAGATGTGGTGAAAAATACTTTCAAAATGAATTTAAAATTTTCCTTTAGCCCTTTTCATGCCAACAGATAATAGGGTGTATTTGTGGCTTTATAGTGTATAATGTCTCTTATTGGTTTCCGTTTAAAATTTTATATATGAATACATAAGTACAAAATTCTCCGTGTGTTTTGTGCACACACACATGTATCTATGTAGTTGCAGTCTTAGATAAGTTTTGGACAATATGAATTAGGTTGAGAAATTAGAGGCAGGATGAAAAGAAAAAGTCCAGAAGACAAGATTGATGAGTGAGTTTGAGAGCAAGAATAGAGTGAAATGATCATTGGCTCCCCACTCACTCCCTATAGCCCTGGTTGCCCTCCTCACCCCAGCCACATCTCACTTTTCTACAGCTCTAATCTGAGAAATCAGAAGGGAATTTTAGAAATGAAAATGTGGAGGGAAACATTAATTTTCTGATTCAGAATTTCAGAATCAGATATAGACTTCAACATCAGTGAGTCTCAAAATGAGATTTTCAGATGAGTGAACTAAGCCCAGAAGAAGAAAAAGTATTTTGATAGTCAGCAGGGAAAGCATTCCTAGCATCAAAGACTCCTGCTTTCCAGTGTAAGATTATTTTTAGACTACATTCTGGGAGAAAATTAGTAAAAATTAAATTAAGAACCTCTTTGTGATTAATCTCTTTGCTATAGGCAGGGATGCTGCATCTGCCACTGAGGCAGAGGTTAGGAAAGACGTTTAAACCAAACAGGGGGTCTTTTTCTGGAAGAGAGCAAATTATTGCCCATATAGAGGAGTCATCTGATTTTATGTGACGTTTACCCTAGATGTTCTTAGAGGTAATTTTGGAAGTCTTCATTAGACAAAAACAGATTCTTTCCATATGGTGCCTTACATACCTAATGATTCTAGAGAATCAGCTCCTGTGTCCTGCTGGTGCTACCCCTGTGTTATGTATGTTTCAAGCTATTCAGATTGATTGTGAATCATTGGCCTCAGGCTGCACTTGATGTCACAGGTCTTTCTGGTTTCATTTATGTGTGCACAAGGGAATTTGCTTTTCCTGTCTTTGAAGCTATATTGATGCAGCTTGACCTTCTAAGCCTTGTAAAACCATCTACCAGATCTTTTGAAGCCCAAAGCTTCAGTATGTGAAACAGTCATAGGAAAGGGAACAGTCTTCTCATACCATTATTTATAATTCTCTATTCCAAAATTTAATGTACAGATGTAAGCTTTGACCATACCAAATCACCCTTCCTTAAAAATAGACATTTTGCTACATGTAGGTAAATATATTGATGAATATCCTATGTATACTGTAAATAAATGTATTATTATACATGACATTTTCCATTAGGAAACATTATTCGCTAAATATTTATTGAACACCTATTGTGTGACAGACACAGTGGATTGGCCCTGGGTGAAATAGGCTGAAATATCCATGTTTTTTGTGGAATTTACATAATTATTTTCTGCAAAATGATAACTTTATCAAGGAGAAAATAATTCTGGGCTTTGGATTCTCTCTTTTGGTCTATTTACACGTTCATGTTTTTAATAACTGTAAGCTTTTATTAAAGTATAACATATATATAATCAAGTATACATCTCAGAGCATTTGCATCAAATGAACACAGCCATGAAATCAGAAGCCAGGTCAAGAAACAACGTAATTATTGAATAAATTAAGCAAGATAAAATTACATGTATATGATTACATTTATATAAAATTCAATGAAGTGCAGTCAGTGGTTGCTGGGGGACTGAAAAATTAGGAAGCATGGGATGGAAGAATTACAGAGAGGAATGAGAAAACTTTTGAGAGTGGTGGATATGCTTATTGATTGATGTTTTCACAGATTTGTATATGTCAAAATGTATCAAATTACACCCTTTGAAATAGTCCATTTATTGTATAACAATGATATTTTTCAAAAGTTGTAAATTTTTTAATTGGCAAAATTATTATTATTTTTTTTTTATCCTCACCCGAGGACATTTTTTCCATTTTTTTTTTGTTGTTGTTCAGATAGAGTGGGAGGGAGAGAGAGAGAAACATCAATGTGAAGGGACACATCGAGTGGCTGCCACCCGCACGACCAACCAGGGCCGGGGACAAACTGAAACCGAGGTACGTGCCCTTAGCGGGAACCAAACCCGGGTCTCTCAGTACCGCAGGCTGACGCTCCATCCGCTGCGCCAAACCGGCCAGGGCGGCAAAATTAATTTTGAGGGTAATTATTCAGAAGGGACATGAGGAAGCCTTCTGATGTGGTAGTTTTTTAATGGCTTGGTATGAGTATATAGGCAAAAAATAAAACATAGGAAAAAAAGCTGTACATTTCAGATTTGTGCATTTCACTGTATTTAAGTTACAACTTCATAAAAATAAATGTTACAAAAAATTTTTTTTAAAAAAAGAAAAGAAACATAACATTGTCAGGCCCGAGGAGAAGCCCCCTTTTGAACCCCGTCCAGTTACTAACCTTCCCAAGGTAACCACTTTTCTGATTTTTGACAACATAGATTACTTTTAGTTTTACTTTTTAAAAAATCCTCACCTGAGGATATGTTTATTGATATTTTTAGATAGAGGGTAAGGAAGAGAGACAGAGAGAGGCATTGATGTGAAAGAGAAACATTGATTGGTTGCCTTCTGTACACGCCCTGACTAGGGATCAAACCCAAAACCCGGGTATGTGCCCTGATTAAGAATTGAACCCAAAACCTTTTGTTGTATAGGACGATGCTCCAACCAACAGAGCCGCACCCACCAGGGCTAGTTTTGCTTTGTTTTGAACTTTATAGAAATGGAATCATATGGTATATGATCTTTTGTGTCTGTCTTCATGTGCTCAGTATTATGCTTGTGAGATTCATTTAATTTGTTGCATGTGGTTGGGTTCATTCATTCTCCTTGCTATGTAGTATTCCACTGTATAAGTACATTACAACTCACTTACCCATTTTATTGTTAAAGACATTTGAACTATTTCCAGTTTTTTTACTGAAAATGTCACTATAAAGATTTGTGTACATGTGTTTAAGTGAACATTTCTATTGGGTATGCACATTTGAATTGAATTGCTGGGTCACAGATTATGTACATATTCATCTGTACTACATACTGCCAAGCAGTTTTCTATAGTGTTTTTACCAAGTTACAGTCAGTCCCACCAGTAGTGTATGAAAGTTCCAGTTACTCTATATCCTTGCCAGACTTGGCATTATGTGCTTTTACATTTTTGTGTGTATTTTAAGTTTAAAAAACTAGGATAGAACCACTTGGTCTTAGTGATAAACAATGAGGCATCATCAAATTTATAGCAACAGTGATAATCCCTTGCATTTTGGTCTATGCCAGTGATTCAGAATGGTATCATATTGGATTACAGACTCTACTTAACTGTTGCCAGAATCAAAGCCACCATGTACAATGGGAAATCCTATAAAAGTACACTTTTTTTACATTTCAAATCATGGCTTTTTCAAGCTAGCAATGATAGGCCACCTTTTTTATTTTTTGCAAGAGTGCCAGTTAGAACAAATAAAAAAATACTTACAGGTCACTTTTTTTTTTATATTTCAAAATACATATAGTTTTATTGAGACCTGGGAAGAAACATACATTTGGATGAGAGATAAACTACCATATCAAGTGGAAGACTGGAAGTGAGAAATTTGGAGCAACTATTGGCCAATAAACGATTAACATTGGGCCATATTTGAGAAATGGCTGTTGGGAGATAGCTGTCATCCTGAAATAGCTTGTCAACCATATTGTAAACCTAGGAAGGCTAATTTTTAGACCGAGACCCTTAAGAGAGGGATGTAATGGCAAACCATCCAGTCCCCTACCCCAACCCTATTTGAACAGTGTCTTCCAAAGAGGGAATTGTACATATAATGGATTTAGGCACCAGGCCCATCTAGAAAGGTAAAGCAGGACCTTATTATTGGAAAGACACTGATGGTTTCCTTTTTCTTTTCAGTCCAAGATTTACACTCGCACACCAACCTTATATTTGGACTTCAAATTGGACCAAGGAGCAAAGCATTCCCAGCCTGTTCCTAAAGGTATGATGGGTTCTGGGGTTTAATGATTGTTTCAGAATAAAAGGGAGGTGCTTTCTCTGGAATGTTCTTGATTCTGAACCTCAGCACACAAAGTTCTGTGAATTTAGTTTATGTTAAATTATGTTTAAACTAGCCAATATTGATGGGGCCTTTCAAGTCACAAAAATCACAGAATGGTAGGGCAGGACCCTCTGGGCCACCGCCCTCATTTTACAGATATGAACAATAAGGCCCAACAATTAGCCAAGTGTCAAGGCCACATGAAGGCTTGCTGGACAGGGCAGGACTTTAACTCATGTCTCCTGCCTTCCTGGTCACTATTGACTTGCAGTATTCCTGGAGGCAAATTCCAACCTTTTTACTTATGAATAAGACCATCCTTCATTGAGATGCATGCATTTCTTGATAAAGACAGTCTATGGAAGACTTACCTTTAGATTGACGTTTAAATACAGAGAATAATTAGAAAATTCCCAAACATTTAAGGCCAATTTTATTTTAAAAAATGGTTACACCTGAGGTCATTAGGCATCAACCTCAGACCTATTATTTTCTTCTTCTTCTTTTTTTTTTTTTTTCATTCTGGCTATTTTTAAGTACATAAAAAAAATCAATTAATTCACTTAAACATAGCCTACCCTTACGCATAATTTTTATAACAGTAAGTGTGGTAGCACATATAGTTTAATTTTTTCTTTTACTTTTGAATTTGGGTCCCTGCACTCTATTTTCCTCCCTTAGCAGCCCATAGATATACCTTCTCTATATATCACAGATCTAGGGGAAATCACAGATGTATACTTGAATTAGATCTTGCTGTGTTTTTCTCAACACTTACTTTTGTACACTGACATATACATGCATGTAAATATACACATATATGAGGTTATTTTATAATTGTTTTACTAAAATGGAATCATATTTTAAATGCATTTTTTGCATCTTGCTTTTTTGACCAAACTATACCTCATGGAAATCCTTCCCAATCTACTCATGTGGCTCTCTTAAATGGAGGTATTCTATGCCATAGGTTGACTGCAATGCATTTAGCTATTTCTTATCAATGGGCGCTCACTTTGTTCCTAGCGCTTGGTTACTGTACACTGGCCTGCAATGCATATCCCTGTACACATGTCCTTTCATATGGGGCCTTATTTTGATATGTCAGGTTTCCAGGGATGATCACAAGGTATATCCATGTTTAATTTTAAAGGGCATTGTCAGGCTGCAGTCCAAAAGGCAGTCACACTTTCCATCAGCTGTGTGTGAGAGTATCAGTTTCTCCGTGACCCCACCAGTGCCGTGTATGGTTCATGTCAATTTTTGTTTTATACTTAGCCGCCACCCTATATTACTTCATGAGACAATGTGTATCTCTCAGTTAACAAAGCTATGCTTCTATATTATTTTGTCACAATGAATTTTAAACCTAAAATTTATTTTCTAAAACATTTTTTGGAGTAAACAAAAGCAAGTAACTTAAAAATGCACATTTATTACTGAGTCACTGAAAACCCACTTTAAACAAGTCTTTTATAAATCCAGCTATAAAGCAGAGGATGCTGTCTTTTTAATACATCACTTCTAGTTATAGTGTTCTCTCCCTCTTCCTCTCCATCTCCCTCTCTCCTCCCTCTCTCCTCTCTCTCTCTCTCTCTCTCTTTCTCTCTCTCTCATACTCATTCATGCTTGCATTAGGTGACAAATCCAAAGTTTGAGACTCCTCTGTCCATTACCAGACAAACAATTCAGATCTTATAAAGCACTTATTATTTACAGACTTAATAGTTCTGGCTGCCTGTAATCAGACATACTGGCTGGTAAAATTATGCTGTATACATTTTACTATCAAGTCATTTAAGTCAAGGTCACCTTTTGTCATTTAAAAAAACAAAAAACAAAACATCTTTCCATTTGCCTGCAATATTTTTTCCATCCCTTTATTTTTAGTCTGTGTGTATCTTTCATTCTGAGGTTGATCTCTGTGTCTAGGTCAAATTCCATTTTAAAATCCAAGGACTGTCTAAATTAATTTTATTTGGGTACTTTGCTGTATCAAATATTCCTTAAAATGTATAGCTCACTGGCTGGATTCTGGACATGTTTTATTTATAATATTTTTATTGTTTTTGTTACTCACGGTAAATAGACTTGACATGGATATGTGGGCTATGCTTGGCTTTTGCATATGCTTTGCAATCTGACTGATGTTGACTTCATTGTATCATTACCAAATGAATGGGCTAGAAAAAAGGCATTCATTGCTACTATCCCATTCCTGATACCAGGAAAATGCACATTTCCCAAAGGACGTCCAGTTTAGGAAGGCTGGAAACATTTCTCATGAATCAGACTAATTTTCTTTTTTTAATTTCTTCCCATAAATAGTATTTGAATAGATTTTTGCCATCCCTTTATTTCCTTTGGGCGAGGCACATTTCTGTGGAGTTGTGCTAATCTTGCAGAAAACAGATGTTTCATACATTGATGATTTGGAAGGCAGTTAATATCAGGAATGGAGCTGCACACTGCATCACTTACAAATAATCCAATTTGTCAAGTTTCTGACAGTACCGGATTCTTTTCACATTGGCCACACGTTTTTCATGTTAGTTCTTGGCTAAAATAAGAGTAAGTAGTTGTTTCTCTCTCTCTCTCTCTCTCTCTCTCTCTCTCTCTCTCTCTCTCTCTCTCTCTCTTTCTCTCTCTGCAATGACTTTTACAATCTCTTGTGAAGCAATCTGATTTTCCTTGCTATAAACTGATATACAGATAACACTGTTTGTTATATTCACCAAGAAGGACATAAGTCTGTATTTCTAGGAAAATATCAATCTTTTCCAAAAATTTGTACCTTGTGGTCCTCATGTCCCCTTTGTCTTATGACTGACTGCATCAAAATTTGGCCCTCAACAGCCACTCTCCATCTTTCTTTATATATATTTATCCTCACCCAAGGATATTTTTCAATTTTTTATTCAGACAGCGCAGGAGGGAGAGAGAGGAAGAGAGAGAGAGAGAAACATCGATGTGAAAGGGACACATCGAGTGGCTGCCACCTGCACACCCAACCAGGGCCGGAGACAAACTGCAACCGAGGTACACGCCCTTAGCGGGAACCGAACCTGGGTCTCTCTGGACCACAGGCTGATGCTCTAACTGCTGAGCCAAAACGGCCAGGTCTCCCCATCTTTCTTTATAGCACCTCTGCTACTAGGTTTTTATTTTTATTTATTTATTTTTAAAAGGTATTCTTTTCTTTTTTAAAAAAGTATTTTGTATTCTTTATTGATTTTAGAGAGAGAGGAAAGGAGAGGGGGAGAGAGATAGAAAAATCGATTAGAGAGAACATCGATTGGCCGCCTCCTGCATGCCCCCCCCAGTTGGGGATTTGGCCCACAATTTGGGCATGTGCCCTGACTGGGAATTGAACCAGTGACCTCTTGGTACATGGGTCAATGCTTAACCACCGAGCCACACCAGCCAGGCCTGCTACTAGGTTTTTAAAAACTTGATCCGGAATGTTAAAAGTGAAGAGTTGTTACGGTATGAAAAAACTTAATTTTATAAGACTTTGTTTACACCCCTCAACTTTTAACTTTATAGTATATGTATATCAATCAACAAAATTTCTTTAGAACATATATAGCCTACCCCTCTGTGGTAAGCAGAAGAATGGCTCCACCAAAATATCTATGCTCTAATTTCTGGAATTTGTGAATATGTTACCTTACATGGTAAAGGTGTGTTGCATGTGTGACTAAATTAAGGGTCTTGAGACGGGGAGGTTAGCCTGGGTAATCCAGATGGACCCAATATAATCATAAGGATCTGTATAAATGAAAGAGGGAGATAGGAGTCAGAGTAGGGGGGGAGAGGGAGAGAGAGAGAGAGAGAGAGAGAGAGGTGACCATGGAAGTAGAGGTCAGAGTGATGCAACTGTTGGTTTTGAAATGGAAGGAGGCCACCAGCCAAGATATAGGGGCAGCCTCTAAAAGCTACAAAAGGCGAGGAAGCAAATTCTCCTCTAAAACTTCCAGAAAGAACACTGCCCAGCCAACACCTTGAATTTAGACTATTGAAACCCATGTTTGCATATTGACCTCTAGAACTATAAGATAATAATGTTTTGTTGTTTTAAGCTACCAAATTTGAAGCAATATGTTACAGCAGCAATAGGAAACTAATGCACCCTCTTAAATATTAATACATTTGTGCTTCTGTGTTTACCTCTTGGGAGAAAAAGGCAAGGAGCCACATCAATTACATGTTAATGAAGTTGGGGAGTGGAATAAATGCTTCAAAACACGTTTTTTTAGAAAGTAGATTTTTTTTAATTTTACTAATTTATTTTTGTTACAGATGTTTCTCCTTTTTTTCCCCATTGACACCCTCTTCCCCATCACCCCCCACCCCATCCCCGGCTTTGTTGTTCGTGTCCATTGGTTATGCATACATGCATATGGTTTATCTCTTCCCTCTGCCCACTACCTCCTCTTCTGAGGGTTGTCAGTCTGTACCCTACTTCCACGTCTCTGGGTCTACCCTAGTCCTCAGACTGTTATGTTCATTATATTCCACAAATAAGTGAGATCATGTGATATTTGTCCTTCTCTGCTTGGCTTGTTTTGCTTAAGATAATACTTTCCAGGTCCCTCCATGTTGTCTCAAAGGATAAGAGATCTTTCTTTCTTACAGATGCATTGTACTGTATTGTGTATATATGTACCACAACTTTTTTATCCATTCGTCTACTGATGGACACTTGGGCTGTTTCCAGATCCTAGCTATTGGAAATACAGCAAAAGAAACAACCATCAAAATGGAAAGGCAACCCACTGTTTGGGAGAGCATAATTGCCAACAATACATCAGATAAGGGGTTAATTTCCAAAATATATACAGTGCTCATACAACTCAACAAAAGGAAGACAAAGAACCCAATTAAAAAATGGGCAGAGGAACTAAATAGACACCTCTCCAAACAGGACATACAAATGG